TTATTTATTTATTTATTTTTGTACTGGGGATCGAACTCAGGCTTTTCTTTTTCTTTCTTTTTGGTACCAGGGATCGAACTCAGGACCTTGTGCTTGTGAGGCAGGCACTGGAACCACCTAGCTAAATCCCCGGCCTGACTTTTCTTTATTTTTAACATTTACTGCTATATAGGGCCCATTAGGGGAACAAAGAATGATAAAAGCATCTTTTTATCCTAAAATAGTTTATAATTTAAACTATTCTCTATCCATTCCACTATCAATCTTTAATAAACTTATGTCAGCTGTAGTAATGTTTTTATTTTCCTCTGGGTTCATGGTCCTCTGAATCTATTTAAACAAAAATGCAGTTAGACATTATGTGATTAGTTGCTACTATACCTATACAAAGTAGAAATGAGAAGGGTGTCATTTAAAGTGAGTAGAAATGCTTTGTTAAGGCTTGTATAATTTCTAGAATTAATAAGACAATATAATGAATTTCAAGATTTAAAAGAAATTATTAATAAAAGTGTCCTTTTAACTTTATTATTTTAGGTAGTAACAGGAATGAAGGAAATGCTACCAGCCAGAGATATTCCAATATCATCCAGCCATCCAGTTTCTCCAAATCCACACCGTGGGGTGGCAGTAGAGATCAAGAAAAGCCATCCTTCAGTTCTTTTGATTCTAAAACTTCAACTTCGAGGAACACAGGTTTTGGATTATCTCAGAACCCATTTGCTTCACCTAGCTCTGAAGAGCAGAAAGATGAAAAGAAGCTTCTGTAAGGAAAATCACTACCCATTTGCTTGTTTTTTTCCAAAAGCACCTTCAGTATTTCTTAAAAAATAAGTAATTATTAAAAACTCAGAGTAAGTAAAAACAGAACAATCAGCCAGGAGCCTGTCACTCAGAGCTAACCACTGTTTTTTTATATATCATTCTAGACTTTATTTCATCTAAAAATATATCATCTTTCCAATTATTAGTAGCATGCCTTCTTAGGGTTATTTATGTTTTTTCTACTTTTTATTATTTATGGTATATTTTTAATATCTAAGTTTAGTCCTGCTTAAATCCATTGTAAATTATGAATTCTTTACAAAGTATCAGATAAGTCAGAACAATTTGTTATCTTGAAGATCAGTGATTGTGTCACTTAAACATTTTATTTCATTTTATTTTATCCTATTCAGACTGATTTCATTTGATTTGCTTCATCATTGTGTAGTACAATCATGACATTACTTAAGAACATTTGTGGTAAAATTTATAACTTCTGCCAAAACAGTGCATGGTTATCTAATACTTCCTTACCTCCTGGCTTTCAAAACAGAATTTTAATATGCTTGTTAGTCTTTTGGTTCCTATAAATGGTAAACATTTTGAGCCCATATCATATTTTTCCACCTATATGAGGTCCCTAGAAAAGGCAAATTCATACAATAGAGGCCACCAGGGGCTTGGAGGAGAGGGATGGCATGTTATTATTTAAAGATACAGAGAGTCTTTCTCTTTTTTTTTTTTTT